TCCTCACGGAGGGAAGCGCATGAGGCAGCCCAGGTTGAGAAAGGTCCCGGCTTCCTCCGGCTTCTACAGTCAAATTCGTGTTACAGCCACCAATATTATAGCAAGCAATGGCCACCCCAAGATGTTCTAAAGACCGACGGGGCTCGCACACTGGACACGACACCAGACAACCCTCCCACAAATATCGCCCCCAACATCAAATCGGACTCCGCAATGTCCGACTTGACGCGACTAGCAGAATTTCGAGGACGTATTCGGGCCAATTATGCACCACATCCACTACCGTTTCAAGCAGGAACACCGGATTACTGCTATTTGCGTGATAAGGGCTTGTTAACGTTGGAGGATGTGCAGCTCCTCACTCGGGAGTTGGTCATTGCGGCCTTAATCCGGCAGAAGAATTTGGGTGTGAGCGATGACCTGATTGATGCAGCCCATACCGTCATTCGGGACATCCAAGCTGGTCTATTGGCCTCTCACTATTTGGTGAGCGGGTATCTAATCGGTGTGCTCCGGGTTTCGGGGACGCTGGAGGACTTGGTGAAATATTGGAACTGGCTGGTGGACCACGGCGAGAAATCGTGCTCCGTTCAAACATTTGGGATCATGATCGAGGCGCTGACATATCGCGGCGCAAAATTGAGCATAATGGAGGGAATGTATAAGGAAGCTGTAAAGCGCTTTTACAAGTCCGATTGCCCCCCGACATCCCGGATACTTATACAAGGGATTCTGGCGGCGAGGCTATTGAATGGGAACTGGAGGGGGGCTTACGAGCTATATGATCACTACCTACGGCTGCACCCGGAATCCGCATCCAGGAAATACATTGAGGAATTGTTCATGTTTGAGCGTCCCCCGAATGAAACAGCCGTCATTGCCATAATCCGCTGTCGGGTGGGTATGCCACTAGGGCGCGGAATAATGAGAACCATTCTTCATGGCATATGGGTTAACTACCGGGATGTGCGATCTATGTTTACCATTGCGACGGCATTCGCTGGTGCCAAGGGAGAGGTCAATGGTAGTTTGATTTTGAGGCTATTAGTCGCCATCATGTCATCAGCAAGCGACGGCCCTCTTACAACCCTGGGAAAGCGATATCAAGAAGGGTACAAGTTCATCCACCAACAAATAGACAAGATTACGACGGCGGCGCTGAGCCGGGGTTTCCTGTTTCCTCCCTCCAAATGGGTGTCTCTCTTATATGTTGCCGGTGACCTAAAAAGAAGGGACATGTTAGAAGCGGTCTTAGCAGTGATGCGGGATACGGAAGTCAAGTTCACCAGCCACCACTTGATAGCCATGGGGCGTGCCTATCGCGCTATCGGCGATATAAACATGGTAGTGAAAACCTGGAAAATTTTAAAGAAAAGGTTTCCAGAGTCCACGGACAAAAAGTTCCTTATGCGCTCCCTCGCTGCATGCGGGCTCGGACCACAAGATGCTACGAAGCTCCTTGATTCAAAAATGTCCTCTTCAGATATTCTCGAAGCGGCGGACAATGCATTCTCAAATCCTATACGAAAAACGGCCCCCCGGTTTCACAGCATCAGACTCTCCTGTCCCCTCCCTGAAAACCCGAAAATGTCGGTAGAGAAAATGCGCGAAGATATTCAAAAGGCGTCTGCGAAATTCCTCATGGTATTACAGAATCACGGAGAGCCCCATGAATTTTCGGCGGACCCCAGCTTCTCTACCATTCCCTCCAAGCTCCCAGCTGGTTCATCACCCCCTCCTGTTTCAAAGGAAGAATTAGAATCCTACTACACTACGCTTGCTAGTATGGGTATAGCAAAACCGGGAGAGGTAGACGAGGGTACGGGATACACTTCAGAACACTTACACTTCGAAAATTGGCGGTCCATAAACCAAGTGCTAGCGATTGCGGAGGAGAACGAAGAGCGGGAAAAGTCCGCGCGGGGGAAAGTCCGAATTTTGGATTTCTCGACGGATAGCCTACTATTGCATGTCGGCGAGGAGGATGAGGAATACATTTGGCATCGGATTCGGGAATTTAATAAGCGGTTCTTCTTTGAAACTGAGGCGAAAGAGAGGATCAAAGAGAGAAAGAAGAATGAAGCAGAGCAGGACGAGGACGAAGAGGCGGATGAGGAGCCAGTGGATGTCGTGTACAGGAGGAAGATGCTCCATTCTCGTGCTAATTTGTGGAGAAAGTTGGGCATAGAAAATTTGGTGAGGGATCTCGGAAAGGTACCATATGTGGGGGATGGACAGAGGGACGATGAAGACGATGATGAGAGATTCTAGCGATGGAACATGGGAGATTGCGTTATCCGAGAGGAAGCCACGGGTAAAACACAAGAGCTATTCTAATGTTTTGAATCGTCTATGGTATGATAGTACAGCTTCAGCCAGTCATTACTGTAGGACCCATCAAAACTAACCACTTGTAGCTTTTCCGCCTCCACCTCCCCCTGCCTCAATCAATGCCTTTTTCCACTCTACAAATTCCTCAGCAACATGTTGTTTTATTCCAACGAACGAATTCTCAAACCCGCGCCCACACCTCCAACACGTATAGTCCATCTTCAGCAATCTTGCCCGCTCATGATGTTCCAATCTAGGATCGTCATCGCGCAACGGCAATTCCTCAAGCGGGACAAAAAACGCCGTATTGAACGAATCTACTCCCAATAATTAGCCCTTACAACCCTCAACAAAGTCATATCAAAAGAGGTGGGGGAAGCGTGGGGAAGTGTACTATAATGCGCCCTTTTCTTCACCCTATCCGAGAACCCCTCGCGCGAGATTACATGCACATGTAAATGATTCATACTCGGCCCCGCATGAACCCCAACCCTAACCTCCGCCCCCCAATCCACCCCTTTCCCGCCCGCCGCCGTGCCACCGCCGCAAATTTTCCTCCTCAGTTCTCTCGCCACCAACCCCTTCAACTCCTCCGCGTCCGTCCGAACCCGCGCCAGAAAGGCCTCGTCCTTGAACGCCTCGAACGGGTGCAGCATGGTCTTCTCGGGATCCCGAGGCAGGAGTAGTGTGTGCACGAGCGCTTTCGGGAACGCGTCCCGGATGAACACAGATGTCGGGGTTTGTTTCAAGATTACGGAGGGGGAGAAGGCGGACGGTGATATTATGTAGGGGGCCAGGGCGTCGCGAGGGTCGCGGGGTGTGTAAGGTATTTCTTTTGGCGGGGTGCAGGTTGTGATGGCAGGATTTGGGGGGTAGCGATGTATTTTGACTACTGTTCGATAAGAGGGGTTGGTATTTTTGGTTTCAGAGAGGGGACATACCGGCTTTAGTGCCTTCTTCTCCTTCACCTGCGTCTTCCGCCTCAAACTGGTGCTTTCGTTTACGTTCCGAAGAACCCAACATGTCCCCTTTCGAATTCGACATCCCCAAGCTCCTGGCCGCACTAGCAATCCTGTAAGCCCCAAACCGAGACGCCCCCAACGCTGAAGCCACAGCTCTCGACCGGAGAAACACAGCTTTCGTGAAAAAAAAATTCCACAGCGTCGTCACTTGGCTCTCTCTCTCAAGAAAAGATGCCGGTCGAAAATGTAGGCGGCTCGGTGACAGTCTAAATGGTGAGCGCCGCACTTTCTCTGTGCGGTGTGTGTGTTGGCAGGAAGCGGAAAAACTATTCCCGCTGATCCCATGCAGATCTCTACCAAGACAAGTGTTTTTGTTTCCCAATTCTTTGTGGACACGCGCGAGCTACGGGAGTGAGGTGGGATTAGGGTTGGCTTGGCGAGATAAACTAGGATAAAGATTGGTATTGGCTTGGCAGCTCTGATTACCAGGTGGGGAAGGCATATCAGAATAACGACTGGGAAGTTGGAAGGCTTTTTGTTTTCCTTGAAAGAGCTAGGGTTTCGGTATGTGGTCTTAAAAGCGGAGGATAGGCTGTTCCTATTATCCTTTCCTTTTGCGACAAAGAGTGGGCGGGAATAGTGATCAAAAATTTCCAAACCTCCAGATCTCAGCCATCAATAAAGCGGATACCATACCACAACATCGGCAGGCTTACGAATTCAGCCGAAGGATTTTCAATACACTCAAGCTGGACGGCAGATGCAATTTCCTCCTGTTTTGTCCAGTCCCCCAGCGGTAACTCACCAAGAAAAGGTGACTCCGGTCTGGAAATCAGAGTACGGAGGAAATAGGCTTCGGTACGGACCCCCGACAGCAGTTTCACGCACAGGGGAATACCCAGCAGAGATCTATGATACCATAAGCGTCAAACGCTCATAGATCTCAGGAAGTGGTTCCAGTCCAGCACTCCCCCTCACGCGCGGACTTATTATGTGATTCTGATATGATGTCCTACCCAATAATGTGCACCTGACAGTCACTATACTACTATATACGATAGCAAGCCGCATGTGTGATATTATACCAAGGTTCTCAAGCCCTCGCCACAATTCAAAAAAAAAAAAAAAAAAAAAAGAACCCACCCCACCCAGAGGAGGCCTCGCATGTGTTTTCGATCATCTATTGATAAAGACCTACTGAATTCAGTGACGTTCAACAATCCTCGTAATCGCGGACAAAACTTCCCCCAGCAAGCAGCAGTTCCTACATAAGCCATTATCAATCTCATGGGCCACGAATATCCCAAGTTTAAACCTAGCTCTGGGAGTTCAACCCACTTTGTCGCAGTTACCGCTTCGAAGCACTGGATCACACGGTATCACAACCCTCTATCTAAAACTCTCACCTCCGAAGCTGCCCATCGGTAGCATTACAAGTTGGAACCCCCCCTACCCAACCCGTGGCCATTACTCGTATCTGTGAAATTCCCATATCCTACCTACCCTCCACGGCCACCGGAGCTGGTAAACGAATTCGCGAGTACGGATCGGTTGGTCTGGAGGAATTCATATTTCTTGATATACTTACTACTCCCGAGGGCATGGTGTACTTTCGGTTAAGAGGTGGAGATTGACTGGGTCTTGTGAGAGAGAAAGGCACGGGGGCGAACAGAGAGCTGGTAACCTTTTCAGTTGCTCGCTTGGGAAAATCTATAGTTTGTTGGCGGTCTCATAATTGATAAGTTGGAATGAGGGTGTGCTTTTGGAAAGGATATCCATCAATCCATACTCTTTTTGGGCTGTCCCCCTTGCGGGCTATGGTCGATCCGGTCGTGAAGCCAGAGTACAATACCTTGCATCGAGTGATTTCTTATGAATATTGGTACTTCGGTCAGTCATTATCATGCAACGGAGCCCAGAGGAAATCGCCCCAACATCATAGGTACCCTCTAAACAGCTCAGGTGATCAGGAGTATCTCCAGAGAGTGTGTGGCTGAGACACCAATATCAGGGTTTGGGATCAAAATTCATAAGTCACATAATTCGCTAACATTACATTAATCTCGTCATCTCACAATATTATCCCAACACCATCTAAGGTAGAGTCCCTTCATACAACCTCACCCCTTCAAATACTGAAAAAAGTGAAATAAATGGCAAAACCCTTTAACCATCAGATTCCGGCCGACCCTTATACTCCTGAAACTTCCTCGCGGGCACCCTCATCTTAAACCTCTCGTCAATCTCCGAGAAGGTAAGCCCCTTAAACTCTGGCACGCAGAAGAAGACCCAGACCGTAGCAAGCAAGCTTGTGCCGCCAAAAATGAATCCGACCTTACCGCGAAGGTTCGCCTCATCGGGGTTTACCTATTCACCATCTCGATCAGCGCATGCGCAAGGAAATTTTACACAATAGGGAGGAGGGGGGGGTGGGGTACAAAGTAAGGGAGAGCGAAGTTCATAATCAACCCCCAAAGACTCTGCACCACCGCCGCAAGGCCAACACTCTTACTCCTAAGTCTGGAGGAAGATGCCTCTCCAAGAATGACATAACCCATCGCTCCAATGGTCAAGAACCAGACATACGAGTAGATGACCGTGAACGCGCTCTGCGCCCACTGCGCCCCAGCGGTAGGAATGACGTCGAAGACGCCGATGAGCGTGAGCATGCCGGTCAACACCACCATTCCGTAGAAGGCGACGATCCGACGACCGACGGTGTTGACGAGCCACCAGCTGGAAATGTTGCCCGCGACACCGCACGCGGTGACACCGACGCCGAGGGAGAAGGTCTGCGAGGTGGGGAGACCGGCGAGCTGGAAGAAGTAGGTTGAGTAGCCGAGCACAAAGATGATGCCGGAAAGGTGCTGGCAGCAGAATACGCCCACTGTTATCATTGTTCGGCGAGCATCGACGCCCTTGAAGCAGTCCAGCCATGCGGCGTTCGTGTAGAGTTCGTTTTCCAAGCGGAGTGTTTCTTGGATCTGCGCGAGGCGCGGCGCGATGTCACGATCCGTTCCGTGGAGGCTTTAAGACGGGAGGGGGAACGTTAGTATAGTGCTATTCAAAATTTACTTCCCCGGAGGAGTACATGCCGAATGAGAGAAGCGCGAGCTCCCTCGATGTTACCCTTGCGTACCAAGTGCCATGGGGACTCCGGGGCGAAAGGAATAACTAAAATCAGCATCACGGGCAGAAAGAACTGCACACAGAAAGGCCCTCTGTAAGCCCATCTGTCGAGACGCTCTCCAAAGATTTTGATAGCCACGTTAGAAAGCAATTGGCCGACAACAATGGCAAGTGAAACGCCACAGGTTGTGATACCACGAAGGACAACCGGCGAGATCTACGACTCATCAGCCTTGGGGTTCGCGAGAGATGGGGAAATGGCATGCATGATATCATACCTCGGAACAGTACGCAGGTGCCACAGACAAATAAAACCCGAGTGCGACTCCTAAGATTACCTTTGCAACAGTGAACACGGCACGTGTCGTCGCTGCGATCTCAAGAGCAATTCCCGCGCACAGTATCCATGACCCCAACCAAGCACACCACTTACGGCCTACCCTATCAGCGATGTAGCCGCTAGCCAGACCTCCGAAGAAGGCACCAACTAGAAGTTTTCAGTTGTCAGCACCAATTGAATAGCCAAGCTAACACTGAGAGGGGGTACAGACCTGTGCTGGTAACGTTGAATATCGTCTGCCAGTTAGCCGGAAGAACAGCCTTCCCCTCGTATATATACCCGAAGTCTCTTCTGAAGGCCTCTACCGAGATTGCTGCCCCGTTCTGTATTCTCGTTGTTAGGAATGTTTCGATCGTAGGAGAACCGGCAGCGAGCAGGTATGACTTACTACTTGAGCATCAAATCCCCAACTCAATGCGGCAGCGCCCATCACACCTGCCCAGAGTAGAACTCCCTTCTCATCTCTGAGCGCCTCTCTGAATGTCTGATTGTGATCGTATCGGTTCGCCTCCTCAAAAAGCGTGTGTTGAGTGACATCAAGGTCGAGTTGCCCTGAAGAAGCTCCTTTGACGTCTTCCCCAGACAACGAAGCAGGATTGGCATCCATGACCGAATATTATGAATTGACGAACTAATCTGTACCCTTTTGATTAGAGGCGAACCATTAAAGGAAGAGAGGCCTTGCTCTTTATTAATTTCTGAGAGCTCGAACAAGGCTAAAAAATCAAATAAAAAAGCAGCCCGCCGCACGAGCAATTATCACGCTCAACAAGCACAAGGTTTCAGATCATATCAGTAGGAAAAAATGAGGCGTTACAGATTACTATACTTGTACAGTACTTGTAATATTGAAATCCTTCCTTCCCTTCCATCCACTGTACCCGCCCACTCAATGAACGAGTACGGTATGACGCCCAATGGTACAGTACTCGTGCCAAAAGCTTAATTCCCAGCTACTGCACCTCGGTACATGTACTTGTACTAGTAACTGTACTAACACACACCAGTAGCCCGCGGCGCTCCAGTGAATCATTCCCATTGGTTAAAGTTCAGCTCGATTTCACGTGGCTATATTTGCTCTCCAGACTCAGGATTTATTCTCCAAACAACTTCGCACCCTTGGGCACTCGTTAAGTTCACACGGCGCGCAATAATTGTCCAGGCCATAAGTTGCTGCAGGTAGGGTTGAAGTATTGGGACAAACAGGGGTACAGCTGACAGCGCAAAAGCTCCTTCATGTGTTTGTCCAGACGGCCTTATACCCAAAAAGGTATATAACCCCCATCATTGCAATAGTCAAGCGGATATTATTATTTTTGTGTTCTCCGCACAGACGTTTTCCACTCCCTGTATACAGTATCCCAAAACTTCACCCCCAGCGCGGGTGCCCGAAGATGGGGGGGTTACTATACATTTTGCATGACCACCGAGACATCCGTTGTAGCACGATTACCTACAAACGTCCACCGAACTGACTAGTGGCATGATCCTAACATTACAACTCAGTGACAAGCAATTACAAAATTGCCCAACAATTAGGATATATAGGAAGTGGCACTCATGCAATCCATAGTAAGACAATACCATTCCCCTGTTGACCAATAGAGACAAAAAAAAAAAAAAAAACTAGTAACATACTGTTAAAAGGTAAGTGTGCAATATTGGCAAGACCATTACAAGAGTCAGGTCCACAATGTAAAAGATCAGAGCTAGCTTATAGAAATTCCAACCAAAGTAACCAGAATAAATTAAGGACATCATGTTTTCATACAATTTAATAAAATAAATTCTTATTCTAAATCATATCCTCAAATCGAATAATAACATTGGAGATATTTACATACTATAATATTATAATCATATACAATATCCTATAACAGTATTTCATAATTTAATATGATGTTATATATTTTGTTAACAATACATACTATTTAATTGTAGATTCTATGACATGGTCTCTCATTATTTTAAATATCAAATACTACACATGTGATCTCAGGTAAGTTCAAATATATTTTCAGATACAAATAAGTGAACAAAGGAGATGTACTCAATTGAGTACCAACTAAGCAGTAAAGGAAATATGCACTATCAGGAAGAGTCATAAATGGGCGAGAACTGACATCAAGCTAGTTATATTGGTAAAGAACAACAGGATTCCATTACACATGCATTACAGCATTACTTATAATATATAATAACATATTGATTTAATCCAATAGTATAAGTTTTTTACACAATAAGTTATTATATAATAATAATATATAACTCATAACTATGAGTCATATGAAACCTAATTCTTACTAGTTTATAATAAATTTTGTAAAAAATATCTATTTTAGAAGAGATACCTTCATGGAAATAAAAATGTTCAGCCATAAATTTACTACAAAATTGTTAGTAAAAAGCCCCTAGTAAAGTTATTATTTTAAAGTTAAGAACTAGAAAGAAAACAAAATTATCAAAAAGTAAAATTTAATAAATTATAGTAATATGACTAAGATGATAATTGTAACTATCAGGATAAACAAGAGGTAGTCAAGGGATAATGAGAGTAAAGATGTCAGAGGACAAGGACTAAGTACTAGGAGAAACCATTGGAGACCAAGAGGCTAATAGGAGTTACAAGGTGGACTGGAATAAAGAGTACAAAGATGGACTGGATCAAAGATGTAACATTAGAACTACAGCCAGACAGAGACAAATCAAGAATATAATGTAAACACATATAACAAACAGTGTTGTTCGTCTAGCCAAACCCTCATGTCAGAATAGGAAACAATATTCATTCACTTGCTGCTTGTAGTATATAATGATCCTACTCCATATGTTAGTTTTTCAACAGATAATGAACTTACTTCTTCAATATCTCGATAGCTATGAGACTTCTCATCTTCGTTATTACTTCTGATAATACCTATCAATATATCTTTGCAGTCACATCTTCGCCTGGTAAGCGAGACATCTTGCTTGCCTAGTGTCGCTGGAGATGTTTGTTTGTAAATAAAATTATAGAGTTAACTTATAGTATAGGAAAAAACTTAAGTGGATAAATGAAGAGTCTACTCAAGAGATATCAGGACTTGCCTTATAAAGACACCTCACTCAACCCAAACTCTAGTGTTACTTATACCTTTGCATCACCATATCCTATAACTCATAAGCGTAAGTCTTATGAGACCCCTCTGCTGACTTATACATGATTCAATTATGAGTCATGGTGTCACGAACGTGGCTTAGCGAGGAAAGGGTTTTTCACGTGACACATGATTATGAGTAACAGGTATGTTATTGTTTCACGCATATGACCTATTCGGGTCATATGATTAGTTATGTGTGGGATTTGTGATGCTTTCGCACATGGCTCAAGTATGAGTCATGGGACATGCACCTGACGAGTATGCCTTACGAGTATGCCTTACGGGCAAGCCTTGCGCATATGATTTATGTTTCGCACATGACCTCATTATGATGTCATGGGTTTCGTGCATATGTCTCAGTCGAGTTATATGACTTGTTTATTGCATTATGATTGGTTTATGAGTTTCGCACATGTGACTACTTTAAGTCACATGACTAAAGGCGGGAAGAACACTATATAAGGAGGCCGATGCGGCCGAGGAAGATAGGTTCTTCACGCTTTGTTCTAAGTACTTTTCCTACTTATTACTTTAACAAGTATAAAATACCTTTACGATCTTTATCTTTGTTGCAATGTTATCGTTACGCTAAGGAAGGCGCTTTACTAAGAAGAGTTAGAGAAAGCTTACGATAGGTAGTCCCGGTAGAAGACAAGGGTCTTGTACTATCGGTAACGTAGGCAGAGGCCTAGAGCTATTGTAAGACAAAGAGAAGAAGAAAGATAGGAAGAGAAGTATCGTTCCCAGTCGCCAAGCACTAACTATCTAAAGAGGGATCATTACATTACAAAGCGTCACCTAGTGTGACGCCAAACGATACAAGACGGTAACCGTCAACCTAGACCGGAAAGGAGATATTGACATCGACGATCAAAATCTTAATCAAGGAGGATTCAGCGATGTCCTAGATCACGTCTCAGCAGAACCCTCAAGAGCAGCAAGCCCAGTAACCTCAGAGAAAGGATCACCAGTCGATAGCTCTCCTGCTGGAACGCCACGACCCGAGAGAATGTCGGGATCCGCAGTACCTGTGCCACCGGCCCCAGCCGCTCCAGCACCAGGAACCAGCATACTTGGAATGACTGAAAATCAGTTTCAGATATTTCTTGCAGCCACGCGAAATACCGGGCAAGGAAATGTACAACGACTAAAAGCCAAGGAGCCCGACACATACGAAGGAGCCAAAGATAAGCTACAAATATTCTTAGCACAATGCGAGGGATATTTTGCAGTTAAGGGATACGGAGATCACCATGATGAAATTAAGATTCCATATGTGGAATCTCTACTCAGAGGACTCGTGGGACAATGGATCATGCCCTTCCAAGATGGACGGAAACAGAGGGAATGGGTCATGTACGAAGAGTTCAAGGCGACACTCTTTGAACAATTTGGAGACCCCAACGCCAAAGAAATAGCAAGACGAAAGCTAGAAAAACTCCAGCAAGGAAAACAAACATTCTCAGCATACTGGAACGAATGTCAACTGTTGGAATACGAGGCCGAGTTTGATGACGCGACTCTCTACATCATCCTCCTGAGAAACTGCAGTGAGAGACTCCGAGAGGCATGGGGAATCTCTGACCTACGCTATACGACAGCCGAACGATTTGCAAGATGGGCAATCGACAAAGAAAGCAAATTGAACATGGTTCGGAGCAACTCGGAAAATACTATAGCACATAGGGTGGTCCATCATCCAGGAATGTGGACGGGACCTTCAAACCGCAAGCACCTCGAGGAGAAAGTCAAGCATTACCACCAGGCGAACCCATGGAATTGGACAAGTCAAGAGCAGGGCCTGCTCTGAATCTGTCTAAGGAAGAATATGCCAGAAGGATGAATGGGAAACTATGCCGAAGGTGAGGAAAAGCAGGGCATCGGATACGAGAATGTAGAAGCCGACTGGACAACAGATACCAGGGAAACAGAGCTACTGGAAATAATCGTTTCCAAAATCAGAAAAGAAGCAACATCTGCGAAATGATAGCAGAGGATTCACCAGCGGAAAATGAAGAGGGTCCCCAGTAAACGATGGTCTGGGAGACCTAAGATGTGGACCTGGAAAACCCATCAAATTAGTGAACTACTACACGGCACTACACACGTAAAGAGGAGAAGAAGATGGAGATCATGTGATGATCAAAATGAAGATATACAACAGAGAAAAAGAAGAAACAACAATATATGCAATGCTCGACTCGGAGGCCACTGAAGACTTCATCGACAAAGAAATATGCGACAAATACGGCCTCCACACCAAACAAGCGAAGAAAGCAAGACAGGTCTACTCAGCGGATGGAAAACCAAGCCCTATGGGTCCTATAACCCATACGGCGACAGTACCCATGGACATTGACAGCCATAGGGAAACGGCAACCTTTCAAGTGGCAGATCTGAAGAACCATGAGATAGTCCTAGGGATGCCATGGTTACGGAAGCATAATCCGACGATCGATTGGAACGA